CCCTCACAGCCTCCCTGAACCCTCACAGCCTCCCTGAACCCTCACAGTCTCTAATCTCCTGGAAATGTTCCTCTTTCACCAGGTCACCTGAAATTATCGGCTCCAACACTCAGTTTGCTTTCTGAAGTTCCTGTGAGCTGGGGATTAATGCAAACTCTGATCCATGTTAAAATCTCCAGCCCATGTTGGGCAGCCAGTGCTGAGTAAATATCTTGGTGAGCGTTTCCCACACTGAGCTCAGCACATTCAAATAAAACATGGAACAGATTTCAGTCAATAAACAAGGTCCAATCTTTGTATGAAAGGGATATCATCCTGACTCCAAGGCAGCTCTGGGTCAGGACAGGAGCATGTGCTCAGGCTCTGTGTCGTGGGCGGGGCTGGGGGGCAGGGTTTAGGGTCTGTTTTTGGAGGGTGGGGGAGCTCTGTTTTAGGGTCTATGTCAGTGATGGGCGGGGGATATCAGATCAGGGGACAATCTTCCCGATTCTGATTGCAAAATGCAGAGAGGTCTTGCTGCAGCTGTACAGGACTTTGGTGAGACCACACCTGGAGTATTGGGTGCAGTGATAGTCTCCCCATCTCAGCAGGAAGAGACTGGATCAGTTATGACAATATTTACTGGACTTTATAAGAATGTGGGGGGAATCTCATGGAAACCTATAAACCTGCCTAAGGGGGTTGAGGCAGGGGGTCGGGGTGGAGGGAGGGGGGTAAAGGGGAGGGAAATGTCACCATCGCAAATGGGCAGAATCCCTCGCACCTTCCATTTTGGTTCTGCTGTTACTTTTTGCTCTGACTGTTAGGGCAGTGAGCTCCTCCTCTTGGTCTTCACTCGATTCCTCCACCGTAAAAATCTCAACCCTCTCCTCAATCTCCTGCAGCTGTTCCTGGACGGTACAATCATCAGGTCCTGAAGGAGACACAATGTTGTTAAGGTTGATCCCACTGTGCAGCCAGACAAACACACTCACAGTGTTCTCTCCCTCCCAATCTGAGCCAGTCCTGACCTCCCGGTAAAGTCACCAGCAGAAACCATCAGTCACAGAAATAACTGATCACAAAGTTCATAACCAACATCAGAGTGAACTCACTGGGTTAACACTCTTCACAATGATTTTAATGCTGTCCTTCCTTCTTTCTGCCTTTCTCTGTCTCCTCTTGTTCAGTGAGTGATCCTACTCCCCAGTTCCCTGCCTGTGCCTCAATTTGTGTGAGGGGTTCAGAAGCTGCGGGTTACGCTGGCAGAAGGATACTAAATCACCCACACGCGGATTGCACCTCAGCTACGTTACTGACCCACACAAAGCCATCTGACCATGTGATCCCACAAAGAGCTAGCTGGGGCCCTGCTTTCTGATCACAAGACACTTTACACAAAGATGGCTTGTCTGGATAAACAATAGAAGGAAGACCAGACACTATTATCAAAAACATAGCACACACAGAATGGATTTCCAGTGAGAGTCAGTGTGTGTGTGTGTGTGGGACCCGTACCCCAGTGAGAGTCGGTGTGTGTGTGGGGGACCCTGTACCCCAGTGACAGTGAGTGAGTGAGTGAGCGAGCGAGCGAGTGTTCTGTGTGGGGGTGGGGGTGGGGGCACGGGGATGATCCAGTACCCCAGTGAATTTGAAATTCGCTATAATCAGGATCAAAATGTTGGGTAAAGCGTTGCTGTTTGAGGTGGGTAAGGAGTGAGTAACATTTGCTGCTGGTCACTGACCTGTCCTTTTTGGTTTCTTCTTCTTCACTATTCGGGAGGTAACAGATGATGAGCAGTTAGTACCGGAGTTAGAATCTGGGATCGGAGTTTTTGTCACTGGGAATGCTGATGCACAGAGCAATGAGACAGAAGATAAAATAAATAACGAAAAATACAGTTTAATACTGGGACCAAGTGGTACCAAAGCAAAACCCGTGAAGATTGTAAATCTAACTACAAACAGAAAATGCTGGGAATTTTCAGCAGGTGAAAAGAGAAGCAGAGTTAATGTTTACTAAGAAACATTTGGGAGGTAATAGGTTAAAAGAGAAAGAGGGATGCAGGTAGAGGATGACAGAAACCAAGAGAAAGTATGATATTCCACCAGAAATCAGGATAGTGAAGAATGAAACAGGAGCCAATCTTTAGGGAAAGTTATCAGCATTTATTTACAGAGAAACACCTGCTCACCCAGCAGCCACATTTTTAGTCAGTTCCCATTGTCAGGAGGCAAATGGATCCCTAGTTTGTGTCCAACAGGTGTACAAATTAAATCTAATTAATATAAACTGACTGGATGGTGCAGCAGAAAGGATAGATTAAATAATAAAAAGAATGATGGCACAAGAAACAAAAATTATGTCCAGAAGTATAAATGTGAAACTGACACCCTCATCCGCTTAGCCGAACTCGTCCTCACCCTCAACAACTTCTCTTTCAATTCCTCCCACTTCCTACAGACAAAGGGGGTAGCCATGGGTACCCGCATGGGCCCAAGCTACGCCTGCCTCTTTGTAGGTTACGTGGAACAATCCCTCTTCCGTACCTACACCGGCCCTAAACCCCACCTCTTCCTCCGTTACAATGATGACTGTATCGGCGCCGCCTCGTGCTCCCACGAGGAGCTCGAACAGTTCATACACTTCACTAACACCTTCCACCCCAACCTTAAGTTTACCTGGACCATCTCTAACACCTCTCTCCCCTTCCTGGACCTCTCTGTCTCCATATCGGGCAACCACCTAGAAACCGATATTCATTTCAAGCCCACCGACTCCCACAGCTACCTAGAATACTCCTCCTCCCACCCACCTTCCTGCAAAAATGCTATCCCCTATTCCCAATTCCTTCGCCTCCACCGCATCTGCTCCCAGGATGAGGCATTCCACTCCCGTACATCTCAGTAGTCCTCGTTTTTCAAGGACCGTAACTTCCCCCCCTCAGTGGTCGAGAACGCCCTCAACCGTGTCTCCCACATCTCCCGCAACTCATCCCTCACATCCCGTCCACGCAATAAGAACCAAAAAAGAATCCCCCTCGTCCTCACGTACCACCCCACCAACCTCCGGATCCAACGCATCATCCTCCGACACTTCCGCCATCTGCAATCCGACCCCACCACCAAAGACATCTTTCCCTCCCCACCCTAATCTGCTTTCCGGAGGGACCACTCTCTCCGTGACTCCCTTGTCCGCTCCACACTCCCCTCCAGCTCCACCACACCCGGCACTTTTCCCTGCAACCGCAGGAAGTGCTACACCTGCCCCCATACCTCCTCCCTCACCCCCATCCCAGGCCCCAAGAAGACTTTCCACATCAAGCAGATGTTCACCTGCACATCTGCCAATGTGGTATACTGCATCCGCTGTACCCGGTGTGGCTTCCTCTACATCGGGGAAACCAAGCGGAGACTCGGGGACCGCTTTGCAGAACAC